AGTCCCGCATCGGGCTCCCTGCTCAGCAGGGAGTCTGCTTCTCCCTCTGACCCTCCCCCCTCTCATGCTCTCTCTGTCTCATTCTCTCTCTCAAATAAATAAGTAAAATCTTTAAAAAAAAAAAAAAAGACCAGGATTTTGTAATTGGCATGTTTACTAGTCTCTTTTAATAAGATTTCCTTTAAAAGCCAGCTTCTCCAGGGTTTTAACAACAGGGTTAAGAGTAGGAATAATTTGCTTATTAATTTCTCGAATGATTGCTGTATCACATACCTCCTGTACACCGCTGTGGTCTTGGCCGCGACCAGCATACACGGTGCCTGTCTGTTCCCTTTGTCATTTCTGTGAAGTAGGGGGCCTTGTGCCCATCGACAGATGAAGAAATCGAGACTGATGGTTTCCGTGACTGGCCTGCAGCCAGTAAACACCCCTGTCACAACCTTGAACCCAGGTCTGCTGACTCCTACATTTGGGGCTCTCCTTAAGTAAAACAGGAGAAAGCAGCTCTCAGAACTGGAGGGCCCCGAGGACACAGGGTTCATTTATGTCTGTTATCATCAAAGAAAGGTATCGCCTAGTTACCAGTGGGGGAGGCGTGTTCATCTTGGTTGTGTTTCCATTGTAGTTGTTTTGTGTTTTGGTATGTTCTTTGGGTTGTTTAAGAAACTAATATCCATTTTTCTAAAAAAAAAAAGATAAAATTGTATGAAAGTCATTATCTGAAACACTAACATGACAAATGTTATATAAATGGCCTTCATTTTCATGACTACCGGCTGGCTGATTGTTTTCTTTTTAAGGATATTTTAAAATATCACTAGGAATGTATTTGCTGAAGCATATTTTCGTACCATGATTTCACTGACGTGAGGATCAGACAGTTCAAGTGAGCATAAACACCCCCCCCTTGAGACACTAACATACCCCAACACCAGCCTTTCTCTGGGCACGGTAAATGTGTATGGCTTTTGTATTTCTATAGTTTTGGATGAACAGTAACAGGATACAGTAGAGTACTCAGATATGAGCCAGGGACATTGCACAAAGTGACCTGATACCACATTGTCACAGGATGCTGTTCATTTCCACAGGCACAGCCCTTTCAGACAGCACAAAACCAAAGACAAGCATGAGATAGACCGAATGACCCTCACCGTGGTAAGGAGATTGAAAACTCTGTGCTTTGGTGGGTTTTTGTTTTTTTTTTTTAAGATTTTCTTTTCTTTTTTTTTTTTTAGTAATCTCTACCCACAACATGGGACTCGAACCTACAACCCCAAGATCAAGAGTCACATGCCCCACCGACTTACCCAGCTAGCCAGGTGCCCCTAAAAACTCTGTTCTTATTTGCATTATAATTTTCACGTCTCATTCCATTAACAACCAGTGTAAAAATTTGCTTTCTTAAAAACAAATGAGTGGAGATACAGTTCCTAGAATTCCTAACTGGCAATTTAGTGGAAATAGATGCCAAGGCAGAAATCAAGGTTTGTCACCCCTCAGTAAGAAAGAGATCCAGAAAGTCAAAAACTAAAGTAAGGAGATCGAAGAAAAGGAAAAATCACTGAGGCGCAGAAGAGTGGGGAGACGTGTTTCTCCGGACCTGGCCCCAGGCTATGGATTGACGTTGAAAATGACTAGTTATCTGGGTTGCATGGCTGGCTCAGTCGGTGGAGCGTGCGACTTTTAATCTTGGGGTTGTGAGTTCGAGCCCCACGTTGGGCAAAGAGATTACTTAAAAGAAAAAAAGAAAGTGACTAGTACAGTTTCACGTTTCTTTAGAGTAAATATTAGTTCACAATGAATCTGCAGTTTTTAACACTGTCCTTTTCCAAGAAATGGCCTTTTAGGTCTGGTTGGGCATCAGGGCCCTGTTTCCAGGAGGGCATCTTTGAAATCTTGTTGTTTTTTCCTCCCCCAGAACGTGGAACTCCCAGAGGCCTTCTCGCCGGAACTGCGGTCGCTCCTAGAAGGCCTGCTCCAGAGAGACGCCAGTAAGCGGCTCGGCTGCCACGGAGGCGGGTAGGCTGTTATTTTAGCTCTTGAGGATCATCACCCGGGGCACCTAACAGTTAGTTCCAGTACATCCCAAATCATTCCTAGCCCCTAAAAATCTCCCATTTTGACCCGAGGCGGGGGAGAAAAATCACATGGGAAATATGTGTGCTGTCCTTTGTGTTTCGTAATTAACGACTTGAAGGAGTCGCTCACTTTTTAACTTTAAAAATCGAGCATGTTGATGGTGGAAACGAATCCTGATATTTCACAGTTCATTTGGTGACGTTTTACTAATTAGGTTTGCAGTGATGGCAGTTCAATATCCTGATCAGGTTCTTACTGGTTTTCTCTCCCGTGTAACTGGTCGGCTACTGTCTTATACTTGCTTTCTATCTGCTAGATATCCAGAATGCCTTCCTGTAATCCTCAAACTTGACTGATATTTTGGCTGGATACAGAATTCTAAATCGATAATGATATTCCCCCAGAACTTTGGGGATATATTGCTTTATTGTGTGCAATAAAGCTGGTCATGGAGCCCAGTTATCACTCCTCATGTCAGGTTCCGATAGTTCTTGTACTGTGGAGGCTCATTTTCTTGAGCTTGGGGAATACTGTTATTTTTTTATTTGACAATCCCTCTCCTCCATTTCCTTGGTTAGCTCGTAGAACTCCTTTTAGGTGGCTGTCGGAATTTCTAGAATGGTCATCAATGCTTCTGACCTTGTGTATTCCCTGTATCTTCGCTTTGATTCTGTTCTACTTTCTGTGGGCTTAAATCTCTAGTCCTTCCTTTGATTGCTTTTTAAAATCTTTAGCAGGCTTAATTTCTTCAAAATAGAACCTTTCAGAGGTTCCCCCCACTCCATTAGAATAAACATGTAGCATTTGGGGTTGGATATGGAGGAAGACAGTATGGTGTGTGCGCGTGCGCGCGTGCATGCACGAAGAATTCAGACTGTCTTCAGTGCATGTCTCCCCCTCCGCCCTCCCACACCCCCCTCCACACACACGGCGTTGAGCCTGGAGCTCAGCACCTCTGTCCCCTGGCCAGTAGCTGTGCTATTTCCTGCCAGCAATCACGGCTCCTGCGTCCATGCCCATCCTGTCTGCTGATGGTTCCCCATCCCTCTTTGTGGTACATTTAGGTCTCCGTGTTCCTCTTCCATCATTTCAGCAATTGTTGGGAAGGAACAAATGCAAAACGCAAAGGGACACCCTTTGCTTTAGATTTCATTCATTCATTCAGTAAACACTTACTGAGCACTCCCTGAGTGTCAGCCACGGTCCTAACTGCTGGGGCCGAGGCAGTTACACACAGGTCGACACAGCCCTGCTGTCTTGGAGCTTATATTGGGTGGGGGTGAATGACATTATAGAAACGATCCGGTAAGTAAGATGACCTCAGACCGAGAGAAGAGCATGAATGAGATAAATAAGGTAGTGTTGTCGTTGAGACTCCAGCCTTGGGAGGAGAGAGGGGAAGGACTCCAGGCAGAGGGGTCAGTGAGGGTAGGGCTTTGAGGGGAAATTAAGCTTCCACGATGCAGAAGAGCAAGAAGGCTGGAGAGCCAGGAGAGGGAGGTCAAGAGCAGGTCAGAGAGGTGGTGGGCTCAGGCAGGTCCTGTAGGCCGTGTCCCTGGACTTTGCTGTAAGGGCAACAGGAGGCCTCTGGAGAGTCTTGGGGAGGGGTGTAGGGAGATGGTTTGAAAAGATGATGTGGGCATGGCATGGGGCAGGTGGGGCTGTGGGCTGTGTGGCTGGGGGGCAGGCTGGGGCAGGGGGGCAGTTAGGGCCATTCGGGGAGCAGGGTGGGGACCTGGACGGTGGCAGTGGTGGCGGGACATTTAGCATTCCCTCCATGATCAAAGACCCTGCCGCCCCCACTAGGAATCAGATCTCGGTGAGGGTTGGAGGCAGTAAGTCAGCCCCAGGACTTGCCGAGGGGTGGGCTGTGGAGTGTAGGGGTTAGTGGGGCATCGGGGGTGATCCGGCTCTTTGGCCTTAGACAACAAGGTGTGGGAGTAATGCAGCAGTTCTACAGACCTCTCGCCCCATCAAGTGGAGACTCCAAGTAGGCGCTGGGTGGGTGGGCCTCCTGGCGTGCAGGACAAAGTCAGCACTTGGGACACAGATCTGAGAGCTTGTCTGCAGGTACGGGTCACTTAAAGGCCTGGCAGAGTGAGGTTACCGAAGGAGTGATAGCAGAGGAAGGGGGCCGAGAACCAGCCCTTGGGGCTCTGCTACAGGAGACAGGGCTGGGGGACCCAGGGCAGGCCTTGGTCCCTGGCAAGCACGGCGACCATGCGCTTTCCCTGGGTAGGCTTTCCTCCTGGTATACAGCCCCTTCTCTTCTGCATAAACTGAGCTTTAAGGGTGGTCTCCAGGAAAACTTGTTTCTTCAATTTATGAGGAGGTTTGGCATACGCTGTGTTCCTAGATTTCTAGTTTGCTTCTGAATTCATATTTGGTACTTCATATGCCTACCGTTTGATCTAACATGCCTCATAGACATTTGCTGAAAATCTCCTCAATGTGGAGATCTCTAGTTTGATTCTTATTTGAATTTGTTCTCTGGGCAACAGAATCCTGTGTATCTCTCTATCTGTGACAACTCCTAGGTTCTCTCAAACTGGAATATGCGTCCCCGATAAATTACCATATGGGATAATATTCCTAGCTTCCGCATACAATATTTCTAAACATCCAGTGTTTCCTGTGTTTCTTTGAAAGAAGCGTATTTTACTTGCTTACTTAAAGAACTGAAAATGGTCGTTGCTCTGTGTTCTTACTAGGAGACAGTTTTTGGAAAATACTCCTTAGGTTTGCAAACGCACCCTTACCAACTTTGTGCCTCTTCCACAGGGCACAAGAAGTAAAGGAGCACATCTTTTTCAAGGGCATCGACTGGCAGCAAGTCTACTTACAGAAGGTACTCTGTCTGGAACCCCACACTGGGCACCACCACCTCTATGCTCCCTCTTGTCCCCCACTTCCTGGGTCCACTCCCCAGGGCCCCGCCCTTAGCCCCGGCCCCGCCCCAAGCCCCGCCCCCCAGACGCCCCAGGCGGCAGTGTGAGTCCTTCTTGCTCTTCTACCCATGGGCTGCCATTGCTGCCAGCTCCCTCTGGGCTGACTTTTCTGTCTCCCTAGTTTAAAAGTTTTCAAAATATCTGCAGTGTACATTAATAATATCGAACCGGAGTTGTCATCTAATTCAAATGTCCCTATAACTGAGATGTTTTTAGCTTTCACTCATCTTTTTGACTTCCTATCTCAATCAGTGACTGTATTTTCATAAAGATCTCTATAGAAATGTACGAGAAACGTGGGTCACAAATCTACATATACTTTTTCTAACCCAGCACCATACAACTTAAGGATCAGTATGATTGGATAGCAACAGAATCCCTTCCCTTATTTTAAGATATTTTTTTATATTCCCATGAGTACAGGAAAACACCCCAAATTAAAGGGTTTTTTTAAATGTGGATCAGCCTTGGATTCGTTTTTGCATCATCTCCAGCAGTGGAGGGATGATGCTCTGTTAGTCCCGCCCACTGTGAACCAGGGAGTGGGCTCCAGCTCCGTTGGCGTCGGCTGGGCACCTCTGTGGGTGTGGAGCGCTCCCTCTGGCCTCCCCGCACATTAAGGCTCCAGCAAGTGAAGTGTGGTGCCCTGTTGTCTGAGACGTGGTGTTTTCCTAAAGTTGAGCTGGCGGGATGTGCAGTCTTGAGACTTAATTATATTCAGTAATGCTTTAAGACCTTGGACGTGAATCTTTTTTTTTCCCCCCTGAAGTTTCTCTAAAATCTGGGGTCGTCTTTTAGGGCTGTTCCATGCCCAGGCTCATCTCTGAAAGATGTGCTGTGATGTGTAGGAGCTCGGCTGGAATGATCAGCATGCAGCACAGTGGTGCTCACAGTGTTCTCACTGTAGAGCCGTAGGTCGGGATGGGCCGTAAGGTGATCTGATAACTGAAGCATGCTTCTTTGGATCTTCCAGTACCCTCCACCCTTGATTCCTCCCCGGGGAGAAGTCAATGCTGCTGATGCCTTTGACATTGGCTCATTTGATGAAGAGGATACCAAGGGCATCAAGGTACACATGTGATGTTCGCCCTGGGTGTTTTGGAGGGTGGGGAGGCTTTTTATTGGCTGTCAAACTGAGTGATTGTCTTAGCATTGGCCTGCTGGTGGAATGTAACTTACCAGTCAATACCTATATATTGGAAGAATGTAGAAGTCAAGGACCTAAATTAGAAACGATGAAAGCTTTCTGTGGACTAATCATTTTATGTTTGACAACCTGGGAAGTGGTCAGTTTCTTACGGATTTGGATATATTTGTGATTGGAATAGAACTCGAACTTACATGAGGCAGAGAAGAAACAGCTGTGACAGTGAACACACTTTGCCATGGGCCGAAGAGCCAGCCATCTTAATCCTTTTAAGTTTTCAGACCTCTCTGTGTTAGGATGAAGAGAGCAAACAGCATGAGTCATTCTGCATTTGTCAATCAAAAGTGAAATAATCACTGTGGTTTTTTTTTTTTAATATAATTCTCTGCATTTTTCAAACTTTTGTTCATATCATTATGTTTCCCAGTAGACAAGGCATAATTACAGACAGTGAGTCATGAGGGAAAACCATCCTCCTCAGGCTGCTAAGTCAGAGTGTATCACTACATGCCGGGCTCACATCTGCCCCCACCTTCTCTGCGTCCCCCAGGACCTCCCCATCTTTTCTCAGCTGCCTCCTTATACCCTGGTGGTGTAAGCCCCCCCCACTTTTCCTACCAAGCAGCTCCCCCTCCAGAAGGCTGTAAGCACACACTGTAAGCACACACACCTGTGAGGAGCCGTGGCCAGGGACACACAGAACTGGAACCAACGGGGCCTGGAGACAGAAGTGGTGGGTGAGCGGCTGGGGAGGAGGGAAGCTGCAGGAGACCCCACGAGAGGCCAGGCGCATTGGGGCCCGAGGAATGGCAGCTGGTTGGAACTGGCAGTGTCAGGAAGGAGGGGCGATCAGGGTGCTCCCAGGACCAGCTTCCCAGGAGGGGAAGCCGAGGCGAAGAGGAGGTGGAGGGGGCTGAGGCCACTTCTGTGGTCTGGCGCAGTGGCTCTCCCAGGGGCCGCAGCGTGTCCGGTGCCGCGACGTGCGCGCTGCCAGGCGTGGTCTGCAGCCTGGACAGAGCACGCGGCAGGTGTGGAAGTACCTCTGTGCAGCCGTGCTCTGGGGAAGGATCATTCACGAAGTCGCTTAAAAGGATTGCTGTTGTCACAATAGAATTTTGTCAGCAAAGGTACTACCGTCCACGAAAGGGTGCTAAAAACGAAGCGGCTGTGATGTGGGAGCCCACAGACATTCTCGATGTTAAAAAGAGATTTCTCATACTTTAAATTTTGTTAACCATAATCGTGGCTCTGGAGTCAGACAGACTGGGCTCCAATCTGCCCTTATTTGCTGAGTGACTTCGGGTAACCCCTCGCGCCTTGGTTTTGCCTCCTGTGAGGTAGAAGAGAGAGCCGCTTTAAGCCTCCTGGCATGTCATCCATGCTTCAGCTAGGAGGTTCTGTCAACGTGGTTTTCGTTCTTCGTGACCAAGAGCTGAGGATGAGCACGCTCAGAACAAGAAGGGGCGTGTGGCCAGGGGCCCAGCGGGAAATGAGGAGCCCGGGACAGCCTTGTCCAGCTAGAGGGTCTGCATCTTAAGAAACCATGCATTCTTTACCTTTAAAAAAGCAGCCCAAATTATACAGTGTTCTTTAAAAAACAAGAACAAAAACAACAAAAAAGTGCACCTCAGATAAGGACAGATTTTCTTCTTTGTTTTATTCACTTTTTTTTTTTTTTTAAAGATTTTTTTTATT